CACACACACACACACACACACACACACACACACACACACACACACACACACACACACACACACACGCACTCTCATCGTGAGATGCGAGCTATGTGAACCACACAAGTGAAAAAGACCAAGGAGATGATGATATCCATGCCGTTGATAGAGAAAGAGCGGTAACGACGATAGGCGGGAAGATGACGATGGGCAAAAAGACCAGGAAGCTGACGATGGGCAAAAGACCAGGGAGCTGACGATGGGCAAAAGACCAGGAAGCTGACGATGGGCAAGATGGGCAAGATGGTGGGCAAGATGGGCATGATGGGCAAGATGGGCAGATCCTGCCAGGGCCAAATGAAGGCGAACATACCTCAATGACGTCAACGCGATGGTAAGGGAGCGATTTTCTATACCGCCAATAAAATAAAGGTCGGAATGCCAATCGGGTGCGCTCAAGACACTCCTAGCCGCCTTTCCCGGCACTAATGCGGGCCCCCACTCTAGCAGTCCAACTGGAAAACGTTATCGGAACGGCAGGTAAGTTTTCACCGAGAGGGCAGGGTGTGCCTCTCCCCACCTAGTCCCGCATTTTCCCATGTGCTCCACCGGTTGCCGTTGGGAGTAAATCACCGCCGCAATTGAGCGGCATGCTCAGGGCATACTCACACTAGCACTGTCTAAAATGTATCTCAACGCATTTCCGGCCAAACATGTATGCATCTGGAGGCAATTCCGTCCAGAAATAAGTAATAAATAAGAATAAGAAATAAAGTGCTAGTGTGAGGATGCCCTCAGTTGGTTAGGCACGCAAGTGACACTCGGAAGGTCGTGGGTACAATCCCCAAGGGACCGTCTGCGGCACGCTTGGTGCCAACGAACTGAGATAGTTGGCTTGCTCCCCCGAGTAGGTATTAGTAGGGTCTCTGGCCATCACGGGTGTGTTTTGTGTGTGTGTGGGTTGTATGTGTGCGTGGGGGGGCATGATCCCACTCAGTCCCCAAGGGCTCCTACCAACAGAGACTGCTGATGTTCCTACCGTCCACACTCAGAACGCCCCGTCATTATAGCTGCATTGGGGGCAACTTTCAGTCCGAATGCAGCAATAATGACTGGGCATAGAAGGTAAGTCCCAGAGATTGGTCCAAATGGCATGGTGTCTGACCCAAGTCTGGTATTGCCCACCTCCTGGGGGCTGCAGCCCCTGAACACAGATGTGGCTGCTACCCCCCTAATACTTACAATGATAATAAGAAGGCGTGAGAGGCACATGAGCTGATGAAATACAGGTCTCAGTAGAATCCCGAGAAACTAAGATGAGTGAAAAAAAAAAGAACAAGCTGAGGCCTGGACCCCACTGGCCGGCGCCTGGAAAAAGCGGCTCTGGCCAACTCGGGTGGAAAGCTTTCGGCACGATTCAGAGGGACTCCACCGCCAACTGGTGGCGGTGTTTTGGAAACGGGCCGGCTTGCCGATTTAGGAAAACCGCGGAAGGTCCCCTCCCAAAAAGGAAAGTAGGAATTCCGCAGACGAACCAGTGGACACGGCAGGGTCTCGGGTGGGGAATTGGTGTGTGGCATCGCACACCGTTTGCGGCACTGCGGGACCGACCTCCATGCGGTCCCAGTGCGACGTCCAAGCACGAGAGGGAACGGGAGGTACAACGGCACTATTTTTTTCAGCCTGCCGTTGGGCCCGTTAGTGCATTTGCGAAAACCGGGAGGACGATGAGGGCACATCGTCGTTGACGTCCAGCCATCGTGTGGTTGTGTTGTGCCCGCGTAGCGAGCCGTTCGTGACCTGCCATCACTCACGGGGTGCCGATCTGTGGGGGAGAGCTTCGGGACGGAAGGGACAGTGGGTGGCCATAGCCGATCGCGACTTTCTGGTGTGACGATTGCCATGGATGTTCGGGGAGGCGGGTTGTATGGCGAAGAGTGCGAGGATACGATGTTGATGGTGGCGTTTTTTATCATCCACTGGATGAACAGACGCAACGCAGCCGCCATGGCGGTCGTGGAGGCTGTTTCGGTGATGCCATTCCTGTCCCAAAACGTCTCCGCTGCGGTTGCACTACTCGCGGGGGGGACGTTGCATGGTTTTGCTCTGGGGGCTTTGGCGGCTGAGAAGGTGGGAAGGAGATTGGACCTTCGACGCCGTATGTGGGTGGTGGAGTGCAGTGGCGGTGTGTGGAAAGACCTCCAGCAAGTGGGGGCTGAGCACGATAAGGTGTTCACGCGGTTTTGCAGACTTCCACGCCCTCTCTTCTTGGAAGTTATGGATCGTATCAGCCCGCATATCCAACGTTCGCCCACGAATTTCAGATTGTCGATACCTGCCAGTCAGAAGTTTGCGTGCGCGATGATCAGGTGGGCGACCACCGGTTATTACAGGCAGTCCTCCCATGGATTGGGCATGGGCCTAGCGAGTGCTTTGCGCAGCAATGTGGAAGTAGCCGACGCCATCATCGCAGAGTACGGACATCTTCTGCGATTCCGGACAGGACAACGACTGGAAGACGTACTTCACGGGTTCGAGAGGAAAGGCTTCCCCGGGTGTGTAGGCGCAATAGATTGCACTCATTTGTATATCGAGAAGCCGAAGGGAGTGCAATCAGAGTGCTTTTACCACCATATTGGGGGGGTTTCTGTTGTGGCGCAGTTCGTGTGCGACCACGAGTGTCAGATCGTCAGTGTTTATGTCAGCTGTCCGGGCTCTGTGCACGATTCCAGAGCTCTACGTATGTCGCCACTGTTTGAGAATGCCACGGCAGGCAAAGGAGTGTTGGGTGAAGGAGGTGCGATACTGCACGATGGCAGACACATCGGCTGGTATTTGATAGGTGATCAAGGGTACCCGCTCCTCTCGTGGTTGATGACACCATTCGGCCGCTTTGCTAAAACGGCGGCGGATCGGGCGTTCGATGAGAGTCACAGTGCAGCAAGGTCGTGCATCGAGCGGACATTCGGGCTTCTGAAAGCCGTGTGGAGGAACTTCATCCGACGACACATTTGCAACCTGGCGACCATCATGAAGGAGTTCATGGCCGTGTGTATTCTACACAACCTTGTGATAGAGCGCAACGTCCAAATAGACCCGGCGTTGATGGGAGATAGCAGCAACAGCGAGGGGGGGGATGGTGGTGACAGCAACCTTCGGCGACGACGGCGACGCCGTCGATTCCACCGCCATCTTGCAGACTTGAACATTGAGGCCGTCCCTTTTGCCGACCCCACCTATGGCGGTGACCTTGCGAAGCACGCCATGGAGAGTTCGGTTGAACACGTACGTCACCACGTTGCAGTCCACGGCGCGCCGCCACCATGCCCGTGGCGGTAGTGCGGCCGTGTTCGATCGAAACGTTGTGTGAGAGTAGGCGGTGATAGTGGGCAGCGCTTTCAAATGCGGGGGGGTTGCGAAGGGAGGTCATGGGCAGTAGAAGAGTGGGCGGGGGTGTACGTGATGTGAGCGTCTTGCGGGCATGGTGCCTTTTTTGCTCCCTGGAGACGTTTGTTTCAAGTGTTTTAAAAATGACCCGCATACATTTCTGTTCCCTTAGGTTCTTCGATGAGAATGTGTTGTTGTTGTTGTTTTTTTTTTTTTATCCATCATTGAAATTCCCTTCTTCTCCTTGATCGTGAATCATGTCGCCCTGCCCTATCTATCCTCTCTCTCTCTCTCTCTCTCTTGCAAAATGTTGTTCAATTGCAAAACGAAAATAATAAATTGCAAGACACTGTTGTTCGATTGAAAAACAATGTTGTTCAAATAAAAAACAATGTTATGCAACAACGATCACACCTTCTTCGCTGCCAAAAGCATCGTCACACACATGCGACACAACACGGACTCGTTCAGTTGATTGCGATGGCGAAAAGAAAAGAAAATTAATGATGGGATAACCGACGTAATAGAAAATTGCAATCTGTGTACTCCGTAATGCATGACATTTCCACAGAAAACATTCGCAGGCATTCCCATGTGAGTAAACACAAACATGACATGAAGAACCTAATTGATGTCATAGCATTGATACCGGGAAAACAGAAATGCTCATCCTCACGTTTTTTCGCAGACGTGACGCGGACAATTTGAATTAAAGCCACTACAGTGGACGGCGTCCGCGCGGGCATTGATTGCTTCCTGCACAGGAAGGATTCACCCGCGTGGACGACATCATCATCCTCATCATCCTCATCATCCTCATCATCATCATCATCATCATCATAATCATCATAATCATCATCATCATCATCATCATCATCATCATCATCATCATCATCATCATCATCATCATCATCATCATCAACATCATCATCATCGTCATCGTCATCGTGACCTAT